AACAGACTGGCAGGTTTTCAGAGAAGCTGCTGAAAATGGAGGTTCGCTTGATCTTGACCAATACACATCCTCAGTACTGGGTTACATTAGTACATGTACTGACACCGTCTCCACTATCAGAAATGTTAAAAGCTACCCAAACAGAAAACCTTGGCTGAATGCAGAGGTGCGTACCCTGCTGGAAGCCAGGAACACTGCCTTCAGGTCTGGAAACTCAGAGGAGCTGAGTAGGACAAGAAAAGAGCTGGTTGCTGGTATTAAGAGGGCCAAGGCCACATATGCACAGAGGATCGAGGGTCAATTCATCTCACAAGACCCTCGGAGCATGTGGAGGGGCATTAAGTGCATAACAGATTATAAAGGAAGGAGTGAACAATGCCCCAAAGACCCATCTCTGCCTGATGCCCTCAACAAGTTCTATGCACGCTTTGAAGACCCGAACAGACCACCCAGCACCAGACTCACCTCACCACCGGATGAAGAGCATCTCAGTGTGACCTCAGCAGAAGTAAGGAGTACCTTCAGGAGGATTAATCCGCACAAAGCAACTGGCCCAGACAACATCCCCGGAAAAGTGTTGAAGGAATGTGCTGATCAGCTCTGTGAGGTGCTGGCAGACATCTTTAACACCTCACTTACCCTGGAGACAGTTCCCACCTGCCTGAAGACTGCCACCATCATCCCAGTCCCAAAAAGCTCTACAGTGACTGGTCTGAATGACTATCGGCCAGTGGCCCTCACCCCGATAGTCGCTAAATGCTTCGAAAAACTGGTCATGACTCACATCAAAACAACAATCAACATCAACGAGGACCCTCATCAGTATGCATACCGTGAGAACCGATCAACAGAGGATGCAATCTTCTCTGTGGTCCACACTGCACTCAACCACCTGGAGCAGAAAAACTCTTATGTCCGTATGCTCTTTGTGGACTTCACATCCGCCTTCAACACCATGATCCCCTAAACCCTGATGGACAAACTATCCACACTAGGACTAAGCCCCTCCATCTGCAACTGGGTACTAGACTTTTTAACAAACAGACCACAGTTAGTGAGGATCCACAACCTCTCCTCCTCCACCATAACCCTCAGCACTGGCTCTCCTCAGGGATGTGTGTTGATCCCCCTTCTGTTTACTCTGCTCACATATGATTGTGCAGCTACCCATCCAGGCTGTCACATTGTAAAGTTTGCAGATGATACAGTGGTGGTGGGATGCATCACAAACAATGATGAGTCCAGCTACAGGCAAGAGGTGGAACACCTGGAGAGCTGGTGCAGAGAGAATAACCTTCACATCAATGTGAAGAAGACAAAGGAGATGATTGTGGACTTCAGAAGGAACAAAAACACCTACACCCCCCTGAACATAAGAGGATCTGCGGTGGAAGTGGTCTCCAGCTACAAGTACTTGGGTGTACACATGAATGACAACCTCAGCTGGAGCAACAACACCACCAGCCTGATCAAGAAAGCTCATCAGAGACTCTACTTCCTCAGACGGCTGAGGCGAGCTGGTCTGGGAAGCTCAGTCCTCACCTCCTTCTACAGGTGTGCAGTGGAGAGCATCCTGTGCTCCAGCATCAACGTGTGGCATGGAGGCTGCACAGCTGCAGAAAGAAAAGCTTTGCAGAGAGTGGTGAAGGCTGCACAGAAATCTGTTGGAATCAGTCTCCCCACCATCACAGACATCTACACCTCCAGATGCAGGAAGAGGGCCACCTGCATCATGAAGGACCCCACCCACCCAGCACACACACTTTTTGCCCCACTCCCCTCAGGAAGGAGGTTAAGGAGCATTAAGTGTAGAACCACTAGACTGAGGAACAGCTTCTACCCTGAGGCTGTTAGACTCATGAATCTCTAACTAGAATAATCACTGTGAAAAACCATATCATGTTGCTGCTGATCTGTTTCATGTTGCTGCTGATCTGTTTCATGTTGCTGCTGATCTGTTTCAATGTTGATGTGTTCATGCGTGCACATCTGCTCACAGACTCATGTTCATGTTTGTGCTGATGTTCAATGTTTTATGTTATGAGTGCTTAGTGTATATTTAGTTGATGTTTTTCTTAGTTCATATCTTAGATGTTATTACTGTTTTTCTTAGACATTTTATTGTTGGATGTAACTGGGACCCTGTGTACATAATTTCGCTCCACCACATGTACCACATGAGGTGCGAATGACAATAAAGAAACTCTGACTCTGACTCTCTGATATATATCTTTAATTCTGATACACACTTGGAAATGAGCTCTCCTGTTATTCAGCTCAGTTCAGTCATTTAATGAAAGCTCTTTGTCTTTCACTGATATTTTGTGTTCTGTCCAAAAACAGGTATTATTTCTGCATTTTTTTTAATTTTTCATTGATTTTTCTTGCAAGCTATGGTTCTGAGATCTTTTGTTATTATCTCAAGCTGCCACCAAGTGTAGAATAAGCCCAGCAACGCAACAAGTATGACTTCATGCATCCTGTGACTTCTGACTAATAAGTTAGAATGATGGGAATAAAAACAGCCTCCCTGAAACTGCACTTTTATAGTCTACATGTTTTATTTATCATTTATGGACAGATTTGCACTTCTTCTTAAAACAAGAGACAATATTGTGTCTTTTAGTTTCAGATATGGAAGAATTATATATTTCAAGAGACTCCTGAAAACCCTAAAGTGGTGTGTTATCATTTTGTGATACATTACCAAGTGATTCTGAGCAATGATGACGTTTTCTGTGGCTCAGCAAGAAAGAACAGCTGACTGCCACTGAGAGAGGCGAAGGTTCAAGAACAGCTTGAACCAAAAACATGCAACAAAGAAATTACATTTAAGAGTTTTGTTTATTTAATTGTCTTTGCACTGCAGATGTTTCTTCTTTTGCTCATATAATATTAATAAGAATAACTTGAATCTTGGTTTGAATAAAACTGTCGTTATGTTCATAGAATGTACTCAAATTACATGAGTACTTGAGCACAAATGCTATACAAATTAAAGTATGGAGGTCTAAAAGAGACAAAATTAAAATCAATAAATGCATTTTAATGATTAAATTGTGCATTTCATAATTTAAAGGTGTATTTAATGATCTATTAAATAACCATATGCTACATTTGATTATTTCATGGGACATTTAATGGAATATCTTTTTATTTCATGATGTACTTATTTAAATTTTTTACTTTTAACCCTCCATAACATTCTACAACCTCATCCCACTGGTTACATATAGCTTAAAAAGCTATCTTAAAATAAGTATAGCTAGCCTAAAAAGCTTCTAAGGGGAAAATGTATCCTTAAAAGCTACTGTTTTTAAAATGTATTAATTGATTTAATTTTGTCACTTTTAATCCTCCATAAAAATCTACATGCCCCTCCTCCTGATATACCTAGCTTCAAAAGTTATCTTAAAATGTGTATAGCTAACCTATAAAGCTATCTCTAAAAGGGGAAAAAGCAGCCTAAGCTGTTTTTAAAATGCATTCACTGATATAATGTTGTCACTTTTAGCGCTCCATAACATTGTACTCTCCTTCTGGTACCACCTAGCCTAAAAAGCTACTGTTTTAAAATGCATTCATTTATTTAATTTATTCACTTTTGGTCCTCCATATGTAGGCTACTGTTTTGAAAATGCAACAATTTTCAGTCAGGTCATCTGGACAGTTTCTTTTTTTTTTGTGCTGAAACGTTTCACCTTCCATCCAGAAGGCTTCATCAGTCAAGGAAACACAACAAAACTGATTCTTCCCCCAACAGCTTTCTCCAAAGTGGAACAAACCAGTTATGTTGGTGCTAAGATGGTCTCTTTGGTATGCCCCTCCTCTGGAGCCGGCCCTCTTCCTTGTCGACAGTCATGTCAAACTGGTTCAAAACCAAAACAGTCCATGCTCAATAATCCAGGTATACAATCCAACAATTTTCAGTCAGGTCATCTGGACAGTTTCTTTTTTTTTTTTTTTGGCTGGCTCCAGAGGAGGGGGAGTGCCAAAGACACCATCTTAGCACCAACAAAAAGAAACTGTCCAAAAAACCTGACTGAAAATTGTTGGACTGTATACCTGGATTATTGAGCATGGATTGTTTTTGTTTTTAAAATGCATTCACTGATTTAATTTTTATTCCTGTCTAACTCTGAATGTTAGGAAACACCTTGTATCTGTGACTTTCCTTCCCTCCATTGATTACGGTGACATTATTTACATGAACGCTCCTACAAGAACCCTGCAGATGTTGGATGCTGTCTATCATGGTGCACCAAGATTCATAACTGGCTGTGATTATCGTACCCATCACTGCACCCTGTATTCACTGGTTAACTGGACATCATTAACTTCACGCAGACTCTCTCACTGGTACATTTTCATCTTTAAATCACTTCTTGGTCTGTTGCCTTCATACATCTTGCCTTCAACATGTCTCTGTGTGAGTGCAGTTACAGCGTGCGCTCTCAGGACATTATTACCTGCAGTGTCCTTCAGTGCGAACTGAACTAGGCAAAAGGGCCTTCTCCTACTCCGCTCCTGTTTCCTGGAATATCTTACAAAAAGATTTGAAGCTCTCGACCTTGACCTCTCTAAGTGGCTTTAAGAATCTGTTGGACTCCTGGCAGGGACCAATGCAGACATGTTCCTGTTTTTAGTTTTCTACGTTCGCCTTAGAATCTAGCTGTTTTTTGTTACTTTTTTGCCATCTTATTTTAATTTGTACAACAAAAAAAAATCAGCATGCCTTTTTATAACTGTCTATTGTTGTCGCTGTTGTCCTCTGTTGTCATCATTCTTTGTTGAAATCAGGTCTCTCTTGTAAACGAGTCCTGGAGGCTCAGTGGGATTTACGTGTCTAAATAAAGGTTGAACTAGTTTTGTCACTTTTGGCCCTCCATACACAACTCGTGGCTCTTCGCTGTGTATTCAACACCTCTGTCACTGATAGGTGTCTCCTGGCAGGAGCCCCCCCTCAGCGGGGCTCTTACGCAAAAAGGCGCAGTTTTGATTTGCTGCTTCAGCACCCCCCCACCCCTAACTTTACAGAGAAGGCGGGCGGAGCTGCTCCGTCACATAAATTGTGCGCGCTACAATTGGAGGGTTCGGGTACCAAACTGTCCTTTCGTGTTTCCTGTGAACCTCCAGCACTGCCAGCTTTGTGTGAGCGAAGCAGCCCAGACTAACCGGGGACGTTTTTATTTTACTTCCCGTGGACCTTCAAACATGTCGGGACATAAAGACAGTGACGGCGGATGGAGGAACTTTATTTGGAGCTCGGAGAAGAAAGAGTTTCTAGGACGAACAGGGGGCAGTTGGTGTAAGTACTCCATTTTTCTTACGGTGACACTGGAAACCATTTTCCCTCCCTTCGTCTCGACACGCAGCACCTGTCGCTGCCCGACACGGTCCAAGGCGTCGCTTCGTTTCGATGGACGCTGTGCAAAAGTTGGAAGGTTTAAATCACGTTTGAACTTCAACACGAAGCGTCTCGCTCTGAGTTTAGTAGAAGGGTCAACTTTAACGAGTGTCCCGTGTGTTCGCTGCTCCATCAACTAGTTTGATAGCACCAAGGCGTAGCCCCCTCCATGGTGCCAGTTGTTAGTCGCTGCCCTTTAGAAAAGGTCGAGCTGAAGGACGTGCTGGGCCGACACTTCGTGAAATCAGAGGGAACAAAGTTCTGCGACCACCATCTGTCGCAAACACGACATGGTTGCCCCCTCCCCTACATGATGCCTGCAGTGTCCAGGCCCGGTGGGACCGAACCCCCCATTCAAATCTGAGAGCCAGTCCGGTGGTCGCGTCATGGACGGGGAAGTGCAGCGGGTGCGGATCTGAACACGCTGGTTCAACTTGGTTTTTATTATAAAGAGCGTGTTTTTGTTGTTCGGACTTGAGCCGGGCTCCAGACAGACCGTGGGGGGAGCACACGGCGCTGAGCTGGAGCTGATCACGACTCACATGTCTCAGGGGCTGCCCCCCCCTCCTCCCTCCCTGCTGTGTCTCACGGTTTATTTCATTTATCTGTCTCCCCTCTCCCACCAAAGACCAGTAACATGAACAGTCTGCCAGTTTACTGCGCTCATTCCTTACAGCTTAGCGGGAACTTCAAGGCGTTTAGCGGGAAAACAAACGAAGAGCCGTTGGTTTTACAGAAGCTGGCGCGTGCTGGCTAATGGCGAACTTGTCGGAGCCACTTTTCTGTGGAAATTTTCAACCTCCGATAGTACTAGTTGTACTTAGTGAGACTCTGTCACGGCGGAGACCGTGTCCTTTTTTGTGATGGAGAGTGAAGTATCAATAAGTAAAAAAACAACAACTAATAATAAGAAAAAGTGAGCTCCGACAGCAACAGGTATATCCGAGCTTTTCAGTAACTGAAATATACCAGGGGTCGTAAACGCAGCACGTTCAAACGGCCGGTGTTGTGTAGAGTTGTGTTACCCCCACCGAGTCTTATCCCACCTGCCATCAGGGCGCGTTTTTCTCGCTAAAATTACACATTTTTGCGTGTAACTGCAAAAATTAAAGGATTATGTACTTTATCAGGTAACGACTCAACTGTCATTACTGTCTTTTCCAGCTACGATGAGCAAACGGAACAAAAGTCGATAGCTGTGTTTCCTAACGACAGAACAGCGGAGGTCAAGGGAAAGTAGAGCCGCTAGAGGCAAACGTTTCGACGGGTGAACACAACTCGACACAACACCGTCGAGACTTTCCTTTTCTTCAGCCGCAGACATGTGGGACATTCTCAGACAAGGCCTCGTTTCAGCTCTTACATGAGCTCTGACATTTCACAGAGGAGAAAGGAGCTGTATAGGTTTAGCAACAACTTGACGGAGCACCAATGAACGTGCACGGGGAAGTAGAGTCTGGGGACGGCCCTGTCTCCACAACAGGCTGGTGGGGGAGGTGCCCTCCATTCAAACTGTCACACACTACACCTCTGTCCGCCTGTTTGCACTCTGCCAAATCAGTGAGAGTTGTTTTGGACTCACTCACCTGAACTCGTGCTACTTTGACTTTTAGGAACTCAATAAATATGTTTTAATGAGCCCAGAGGGACTAAAGTACTTGTGTACTGAGAATTGTTAGTAAATGTATAATAATACTCAATATAGGAAGGCTGTTGGCCTGTTTGCATACATCACACGTGCATTTGTTGTATTTTGTACACATGTTTGGTGCTGATGGGACAAGTTTGTTTTAATTGTGGCCCTACAGGCTTAGGTCTGTGCCCAATATGGCAGCGTGTCTAGTTTCATTCTGACAGGTGCATCACGGCTGCTGACATGATTGTAGGAAAATAGCTCACCACATGTTGTTTTAGAAGTAGGTGTTGGAGCAACTTGTACACATGGAGGTAAAAAATTCAGGATTTTGTCTGATGGTGTATGATTGAATATCAACTTTTGTTGGAGCAGTATCATACACGTGCAGGGGACAAACGCTGAGTCCACCTCTGAGGCGGCAGCGTCAAAAGAGAAGTGGTTTGGAGGCCGGTCGTGTCACTTGAATGAACTAGTTTTAAATTGCATATTTTAGACAAGAACCTTAAAGTGAAAATGTGTTTCAGAAAGTGTGATGTAGTAGACAAAAAGCAGCTGTCGTTCATTTAGTTATGTTTGTTCATTTAGTTATGTTTGTTCATTTAGTTATGACAAATAAGAAACTAGAGATTCTGAAAGATCTACAAGTTTTTTTTATATTGCATAATCTTGATCTGAAATTTTCTTTAAAGTGACAACAAGTAGTTTTCACATTAGTCCAAGTAGATCCATGAAAATAAAAGCAAGCTGTTATTAAGCTTTTAAGGGATACAGCCTTTTATTATTTATTATTATTTATTCACAGGTGTGAATATGAGTCCTCATGACTCTGTGAGAATAGCTTGTCTAAATAAAGGTTGAATGAGTGAATTCCTTTTCATGGCTTTTAACGTGAAAACAAAGTCCCTTGTATTTTTTCCCTATAATTTAATCTGACTTCATGAAAAATGCATTTTAACAAAAGCTGGTTACAAACCAGCTGAACGTGGACCATTTAATGGTGCTAAAGACTCGACGCGTTACATGAACCATGCTGTGAACTCGAGACCAGGTACCTGGCATGAGGCGGGCTTTTCATCAAGGTGAAGAATCTGAATTAAACATTTAAGGGAAAACAACATAAATAGACATTTGAAGGCATAAAAACTAGTTCTATATCTTGGATGATTCATTTACATACATTTAACTCAACTTTTATTATATGGAAAAGGATGATATTTTTTAAAATTATAGCACGGGTCGTTCTTTGCTCAGTGCAAACTAACTTTTATTAAACGATCCTCTGAACAAATGCAGACGTGCATCACTCTGTCACTTCATGGGGGCCATGCTGGAGGAAACACTGAAAGTTAAGTTTCTGTCTGCTCCAACAGGATGCTCTTAGTTCAATTAGACAGGACGGTTTTTATGTGGGGTGCTTGGAAGTGACACGTTTGTGGGGGAGGGGGTGTCCTGATGGCAGGGAGCTGTGGCGCCTGATAAGTGACTCATCTCGTTGTACTGGAAGTGCAACTATTGTGAACTGCAGTTAAATCCAACAAGATTGTTTTTGTACCAAGTGGCCGTAGAGTGGGAAGCATCTTGTTTCCTGTGGGTCTTAGTTTAAGACTTTGTAACAAAATGAACCCCCCCACATGATTAATGTTCACTTCATGTTCTTCTCTTCTAGTTGGTTCTTTAATGTCCCACCATCTAACGTGTTTGTAAATGCTTGATGTTGCACATGAGTCCAGTGTCAAAGAGGAAGCCGTACTGCCCGTCACGTCACAGTCTCAGTGGAGTTTACGTTTTTCTTTTCAGTTAAAATCCTCTTGTTCTACGTGATTTTCTACGGATGTTTGGCTGGAATATTCGTCGGGACCATACAGGCAATGCTGCTCACATTAAATGACTACAAACCCAAGTATCAGGACCGAGTCGCTCCCCCAGGTAAGACGACTTTCTTCCTTTAATCGTCCTGTTGTAAAACTAACCACAGCGTCTGAGCAGTTCGTGTTGAATGGGTGTGCCTTTGAGCAGCTCCTCTATCTTTCTGACCTCTAATAAGCTCAGCCATTTTGTCCTTCACTCCTCAACCAGTCAATGGTTCTCCCCTCGGGCTGCTGGGGGGACTGAAACAGTTTGTGTGCTACAACAGCTGCCATGTTAATGCTCACTTTCTGTACTTTTGTTTTTCATAAAAAAGCCTTCAGAAGTTTTAATTTTTTTACTTTCATGAGAAATAAAATCAACAAACTTCCTAATCTGTAACCCATGGGGGCACTCGGCATCATAAAACCCCTCTTTAGTCCCTTTACGGGCGTTTTGAAATTTCCTGCTAGCTTGGAAACGGGCTTTAGGTGCCAAGCCTCGTGGTGCCGTGCCAGTACTTGTTTGTACAGCACATGCTCCGGCCTTCGTAGTATTTTTAGCAGCCATTGTAGAAAGTTGTCTTTGTGCGGCTGCAGCTCCGTCCACAACCAAAGACTGCAACGTTTGAGCTGAAGCAACTTTCCAGTAGAGGCAGGACTGAGGAAGCAGAGAGCGTGTTTTTTTTTTTTTTTTCCAGAGCAACAGCCCGCCTCTCATTCTGGGGCTAAAAGTTTCCATTGTAAGAGAGGACACGTGAGAGTGTACATGGGTGGGGGCAGGGGTTTGGTGTACTTTCACAAGCCTTCAAACACCGTTTCACTGCCTCTAAATTACATTGGTGGCATCACACAGAGATCCTACGGTAAATAAAGGCAGAGTTTATGAATTTAACGTTTCTTACCCACCTCATTCTCCCCATGCCACGACTTGCTCAAGCCCCACAAGGTCTGTGGAAAATTACAAAGCAGAGACCACGAGAGGAAAATCCCCAAGACCCCCCCGTTTCTCAGGATAATGGACAATAAAAAAGCTTTGTTTTGTTTCTCACGTAAAAACAATGTGATTCTTTTTTTTTCTGCATTTAACCCGAACAATCTGTTGTTTTCCAGGTCTGTCCCACACCCCCCTCTCAGAAAAATCTGAAATTTCCTTCAAAGTGAACGACGCAGCTTCATATATGAAGTACATTGAGAAAATGAACGAATTACTTAATAAGTATAATGATACGCGTCAGACGACTGATCTGAAGTTCGAGGATTGTGGAGGCAAGTATGAGCTGATGGTCTTCCTCGTGAGGTTCAACACTCGTTAGCACAGACGGGTTTCCTTTAAGGAAAGGACTGTTTTGACTCTTATTATTATTATTATTATTATTATTATTTGTTTTAATCCAAATTGTTACTTTATTTAAAATATTTAGAACATGTATACAACTATATAATGTATATTTACGGTACTATAAATATTTTTAACATCTTAATTCCACTCAAATATGGTGAAAAGTCCCTTCAGTGTCTAAATATGGATTTCAAAATGTTCACGTTTTAATGTGAGCACATTTTCTTTTGTTCTTCCAGACACTCCGCAGCATTACAAAGATCGTGGCAGCTTGGAGAGTGACAGTGATGGACAGAGGACCGCCTGCCGCTTCAACAGAACGCTGCTGAAAAGCTGCTCTGGTTTATCCGACGGCACCTATGGCTTCAAGGAGGGAAAGCCGTGCCTCATCGTCAAGCTCAACAGAATTGTCAACTTCCTACCAAGGGTACGTTCACGTTCATGCATTTACCAAGTCCTGCTGTGAAGGCAGCAAACAACAAGACGCCTGTCACCTGTACAGGGATGGTTACTGTCTTTGTGCCACCAGGGAAACGCTGTGATCACACAACACTTGGCCAAGAAAACAACGCAGAGCTCGGTAGTTGGAGTTCACTTTTAAAGTGATGTTTGAAAGAGAGTTACAAACCTTCAGAACGAGGAGTTTTAGAGCCGACACTCGTAAAACTGCTTGGTCTACTTTGTGCTGCACGCGCTCAAAGAAGAGCCTGTCACAGCAGACAAAGGCGACATTTACATAGCTTCTACTTTAGCGATGCTAATGTCGTTTTAATTGTGTGGGTGTTGGAAGAGCGTTTAAATCGTTGGCTGATCCCCCATGCATGTTTAAATGGACCAGTCACTTCCTTTCACATCATTCAAGAGTCTGTTGAGCCAGGAAAGTGCCTTTTCTGAAACAGGAGCTAAAACAAGCCAGTAAATGAAAATGTTCAGTACTGGCAGTATGGAAATGGAAAAAAAAAACTGGAGGGGGGGGTTGCCTCCTACTGGTTATGAAGGATTGTGAAGTGGTGCACTGGAGTTCAAAGCACCTAATGTGTCTGACTCATGACTGTGGTCATAGGCTACAAGTTTCACATACATATCATGCTCAATAGTGCAGGTGAAAAACCCAACGATGTTGAGTCTGCTCCTCTGGACAGTTTCTTGTTGTTGAAACGTTTTGTTTTTCATCCCAAAGATTCATCAGTCCACAACAAACTCAGTCTTATAAGTAGCACCTTCACATAGTGGGTCAACCAGTTGGATGGTGCTAAGATGTGATGGTGCTATTTATAAGACTGAGTTTGTTGTGGCTCCTGGACTGATGAATCTTTTGGAGGAAAAACGAAACGTTTCAACAAGAAACTGTCCAGAGGAGCAGACTCAACTTTGTTGGGTTTCACATAGTTTAGGTGAAAAGTTGCTCAAAATGCTTTGGGACTGCAGGAGCTGATAAGTGCCTCCACATGCTTCAACACAACTGATTGAAAATGTACTAAATGGTTTATTTTGAAAGGAAAGAAGTGAGTTGACCTCTATAGATGTCATGTTCCTTCACTCAAGGCTCACAAAAGAGCTGAAATCCTCACTGAACTGCCAGCAGTTGCATTGTGGGAAATTTGGTTTCCACATTATAAAATAAACAGAATGTTGAAATGCAAGGCAACTTCTGTGGTTTGCAGTTTGAATTTGTTTAATTTTGTTTCCGCAAACTAAACAAATAACCAAACATGCTATTGATCCACATTATTTGGATGTTTTTTGTAAAAAAAATTGATCAACTAGTGTTTTTTTATTTTTAGGTCCTCTCCAACGAATCCCTCCCAGATGCTCTGAAAAACAGATCAGACAATGTCATCCCCATTTACTGCAAAAACAAGGTACATCTGATGCAACATCATGTGGCAGTGCTGGACACTTGTCTTGTTGCTGCAAAGTTCATATTTCACTTTTGTGTTTGCAGAGGGAGGAAGATGCAGACAAGATCGGAGAGATCAAGTACTACGGCATCGGGGAAGGCTTTCCTCTGCAGTATTACCCGTACTACGGCAAGCGGCTGCATCCCCAGTACCTGCAGCCTCTGGTGGCCATTCACTTTACCAACCTCACGCTGGACACGGAGCTCCGCATCGAGTGCAAAGCATACGGAGAAAACATCAAGTTCAGCGAAAAAGACCGCTATCAAGGACGCTTTGATGTGAAGTTCACGGTGAAGTCGTGACCTCGGCCAAGGTCGTCACTCTCAGTTGAAAATTAAAATAAACGTTGAGCAAATTCACGAGTTCAGATAAACACCACTAGTCTTTGAACATTCATTATAGACAGGACCTACACTTAAATCTGTGTGCTTTCCATTAGCTTTTCTGTGTTTTTGTCCAAAGTTAGAATGTAACCACAAGAGTAGCAATAGCAAATATTTATTCTACTGTAAATGAAAATATTCCTGGATCCATGGGATGTTCATCCGTTACTGTAAAACTACAGTTTTACTACTGATGCGTAGAGTCGTGTTCCTGTCCCCATGGCGTTTCATCCTGGCGTGGTTTCTATATATTTTTGAAGTGTCCTGAGCTGTAGTCTAGAGCTGTTGTAATCTTTTTTGTCTTGTCAGCTTCTGTGGTCCAAGGTGTGTGTATGCACACGCTTGTGTCTGTGCGGGCATGTCAGTTTATATGAGAACAGAGTGTTTGGACTAACTGAAATACTAGCATGGTACTCTGAACCTTTAAGACCCATGAGTAAATGGCTGCACTTCACCGCTGGTTTATGTTTTGATTATTTTTTTTTTTTTAGGCATTTATTTGTTCAAGGTAGTTGTGGACGAATGCATTTGTGCACAGTTTGTTCATCTTGTTAAGTAGTTAAAGTTTTTTTTCTTTGATACTTTGCATTTGTTCATTCTTAATTCATAGTGTAAAGTTTTGTGGGTCCAGCCTAAGATGGAAACAGTGGCACCTCTGCTTTGAAATCTGTTTTGCTGGAGTCGTCCTGTTACGTGATGCAACACCGTTGAAATGTTGTAGCCATTTTCATGATGGAAGAGTTTTGTATTTATGCAGTTGTACTTTTTTTTTTTTCAAAGTGTCATGTATATAAATCAAATACCAAAGCTGGTCAAAACGTTAGAATATCTGAGGCAATGCAGTATCCCATGTATCAAGATGTTTAGTTGGCGTGAAAATACTTAATTCAATGTTGGAGATCAAACACTTGTCAGGAGTCTGCTGTTGTCACTTTATTTAATCTGCATAAGGTTGAAACAATAAAGAGAAAATTGAGACAATGTGAAGTCTTTCAGTATGTAGTCTAGGATTTTTCCTTTGAGTTCATCCATCCAAGATCTTGAAGAAGTACTGCACCTGGAAAAGGAATGTAAAGGAAATTAATCCCAGTATAATGTATCGGGGTCAGCCCTGCTCTGCACAAGGCCTTTCTTGGTCACCGTGTTCCAGTCGTGGCAAAATGGCAGCTCAGTCAGTTGCAGGCTAATGTTTAACAAGGAAGCATTTGTCTCCCATACAGATCAGGAGTTTTCCTGAACAATGACGTTGGACGGGTCAGACCCACTTGCCTGCAAAACAATGGTTTTGTTTCACATTCCTGCCGTTCTTGTTTTCCTCTCACCAGTAAGATCCAAGGTTGCCCCGACCCACAGAGCAGTCATGAGACTCGTCTAAAGATGCCGCTGCACAGAGTTGAGGCGGCTTTGTTCTTGGATAACTGCAAGGTGGTTGGTTGTGTAATGGACCGTAAGACAATGAGGACACTTTGTAGGGTGAGGAGGTGCGCACACGATAATGTGGGAGTGATCTTAGAAGGCACAGTGTGCATGTGTGAGACCAACCTCCAGAACTCCGTCTTCAGGCAGGTCTGTGCAGTGGACTGCGTTTCTCACTTTGTCTTTGCCGTAAAGGGCTCGCAGAGTGTTTGGACGAAGATGTCTTGCGATTTCCTGTAAAATAAAAACTTGATTGTTCTATTTCATTTGATAAAACAAAGAAATCATCGGGCTGACATTAAGCCCCGACTTGAAACAAAAAGGAAACGACAGAAAGTGACACAAGAAACTTGGCGTGCAAACTTCCAACTGATGTGGACGATTAGAGCTGCAGTTTGAGGCAGAACATCCTGTACCCTGGTGTGTGAATACAGAGTGATTACTCAGCACCTCAACATGTGATCCAACAAGAAGTAAAAAAAAACACTCAGCAAACTTTATGGATTGTATGTGGAGGGTGAAAAAAACCTGCTTTTTGCTCAAAATGCCCATGGTTTTATGAATACCTCACAAACCAACAAGACAGTATCTAGTTTAAATAACAATCAGATTACAGATATACATTAACATATATAAACAGATTGAGCTAAGATTTGTTGTGGAGAGTTATTCACAGCACATTCTCGTCTCCATCCTCCTCAATTTAAGTGCCACCTTTGACACCATCCTCTGACAGTCGATCATGTATTGGTATTTCAAACACACCCCTTAGGCTAACTGGTTTATTTCATACCATTCTGACTGCACACAAATTGTTCAATTAAATTCATGTACAGTACCTCTCATCCATCCCTTCTCTGTTCAAGTGTTCCACAAGGTTCTGTCCTCAGCCCTCTCTTTTTTTATCATTTACTTCCTTCCACTTGGCAATATCTTTAAAAAACAAACAAACAATATTTGATTGACGTGCAGATGACACCCACACATCTGTCTGCCACCTCCACCCTCCAACTAACCTCACTTTCTGACTGCCTTTATGATATCAGATCCTGGTTCACCATCAGCTTCCTCAAACTCATCAAGAACGAAACTGAACTTCTCATTGGCACTAAATCCACCCTTGCAAAAACCAGTATATTTACAAATCTCATCGACAGCACCTCAGTTTCCTCATCCCCCCAGACTGAGCTTGGATGTCATCCTAGACAACACGTTACCATTTAAATCCCATATTGGTATTTGTTAGGCCTACTTTCACTTCTACAACATTGCTTGTCTCCGTCCATTCCTCTCAACCAACAGTACTGCCATTCTGGTTTACTCTGGTCACATCCCATTTAGATTACCATAACTTCCTTCTTATTGGAAAAACCCATCTATAAACTCCCAACTGGTCTAAAACTGCCGCTCGCATTATTTCCAGAATCCCTTCAACCAGTCATATAAGCTCTGTCTTGCAGCATCTTCACTAGCTTCCCATTAAATATCACATTTCCTACAAAATCCTGCTTCAAAGCCCTCAACAACCTCGACCCTCATTGTATCACCGTACTCCACATTAACACACCCACCTACACTCTCAGGTCCTCCACTCAACTCACTCTCAACCACCTGCCCGTCTCATCACTATGGGCTCAAGAGTAGTCACTGCACCCCTCCTCTGGAACTCACCCTTCGGAAATCAAAAACTCTCCCAACATCTCCATTTTCAAATCCCGAATCAAAACTCTCCCCTTTAAACAGGCTTACTCACTTTAACCTCCTTGTTACATTTAAGTCATGTATGATGCTTGTTATTTTTCATTTGTTGTTTTATTATTTTGTTTTTACTACATTTCATATTGTATTTTATTTTACTGTGTCATTGAGTGCCATGAAAGGCACCTTAAAATAAAATGTACTAATAAAAGTGTTGCTCACTGCACATCTCTGCTTAAAACTTTAGCTTTCACAGTTAAAGTCAACCCACTTAGCAAGTCTGTTAGCAAAATATCATGAGCCAGCAGATGGATTTTCAAAGTTGGGTCAAAACAAACCTGTCCCCTTTCATCATAAAGACAGTCTTTGTCTAAAACTGTGGCATGAAAGGCAGTGGGCGATATGCATTTCTTCAGGGAATGTCAGGTCTTTACTTTAAAACTTTCTTTTATCCTTTTATTTTCTCAGAAACAACAAGCATCCTTATTTCCAGGCAGAGCCACTTATTTCCCTTCTACATCAGACACTGTCAAGGTCAAAGCTGGGCTCAGTTTGGCTTTGTGTCTCCAGGAAATGCAACCCTCCCACAGGGTCTTCAACAAAGGGAGGGGCAGCATGTGAATAATTAATTCACTAAGACCACTGTTGGCTGTGTGGAAATGTTGGATAATGTGTGGAAATACCATGGGGACTCATACGACTGTGACAGAATATATAATCAGAATATGTTTGGATTAAAAGTCTGACTGAAGTACCCTCTGGCACAACATGAGAGCATACACAAAGAGGCAGGAAGAAAGACTCGGGGTGACAAATGTGCCTGACCCGCTCCTCAAAGCTCCTATTATGTTGAAAAAATGTGGGAAAAAAGTGTCCTGGTTCCAGAAGACTGGATAGATATGAAATCTACAGTGATGATCTTCAAAGCCTGGACTTCAATCTGGTGATTCATTCCTCCAATCAATCAATCAACTTTAAATTAAATTCAGTTTATTTATATAGTCCCAAGTCACAACAGATGTCATCTCTTTATCGTTATCCCATTAGAATCTTAAGAGAAAAAAAAGTTTCCTGATTCAAACAGGAAACAAGTGCCTCCTTATTTTTCTATTGTCATGATTTGGTTTGCTGTCCCTCCTGTAGATGTGTAAAACCCATACACAAATTGACACATAGGAGGTTCGATCAGGAATATTGTGATCAGGAATATTGTGCTTTAACATTTAGTAGCAATGAGTCATATGAAACTGACACAATTTGCTAAATGAAAATAATAAAATCCATAAAATTTAAAAAGTAATTGTCCTGATTCATGCTCAATAATTCAGGTAATAAGTCTAACAAGCTTAAGTCAGGTCCTCTGGACGGACTCTTCTTGTTGAAATGTTTGGTCTTTTATCAAACAAAAAAAAATTCAGTCTGAGGAGCAGCAAGCATCTTATAAGCAGCACCTTCTTATAGTGGATCAACCAGTTTACTGGTGGCAGCCAAAAGTAGTTGTCCACATGATGGAGGACCATCAGCCTAACGACCGATCATTAGTGCCCTGATGCCTCTCAAACCAACGCTCCTCTTTATGTGAACATCTTCATCTCTGAAAGAGTGACCTCTGGCTGCAGATGAGTGTAGACCGCAGAGTCCTGGCCTGATGATGTTCCTCTTCTGTGCTGGACCATCCTTTTGGCCAGTGGCTGTTTCCCTTTAGTTGGCAGCTCAGAACACCACATACAGAACACCATGGACTTTGTGGACAAGGTGAGGGATGTCATCATGGAGGCTGATGAAACAATGGTCTCTTTTGATGTCACATCACTCTTTACGTGCATTCCTGTTGATGATGCAGTAGAGGTGGTCAGTTTAAGATTAAAATCAGACACCACTCTGAGCAGCAGGACCACGCTTTCCACAGAACAACTGTGTCAACTCTTGAAACTGTGCCTACAGTCAACCTACTTCACATATGGGGAGCAATATTATAGGCAGAAACATGGGTGTGCTATGGGGTCTCCAGTTTCTCCTATTGTTGCCAACCTGTACATGGAGGAGGTAGAAAAGAGAGCCTTGACGTCCTTTTCAGGGACACCACCAAGTCATTGGTTCAGGTATGTTGATGACACCTGGGTTAAAATCAAATCTCAGGAAGTCCAACATTTTACTAACCACATCAACTCTGTGGATAAATACATCAAGTTCACACGAGAAGATGTAAAAAATGGCAGGTTGGCTTTCTTGGACTGTGAGGTCTCAGTCTCTGATAGAGGACATTTGCAAACCGAGGTGTACCGCAAACCCACCCACACAGACCAGTATTTGCAGTTTGACTCCCATCACCCTTTGGAGCACAAGTTAGGAGTCATCAGGACTCTGTATCACAGAGCAGACAGCGTCCCCACTAACTCAGGAGCCAGGCAGAAGGAGAAACCCTACACAAGACAGGCTCTAGAGCAATGTGGATATCCTAACTGGGCCTTCCTGAAAGCAGAGAAGAAACCCAAACAGGACTCCAGTCAGCCAACAGGTGAAAAGGAGGAACCCAGACCAGTGGTCATTACGTATGTTGAGGGAGTATCAGAGAAACTGAGACATTTATTTTCTAAACATAACGTCCCAGTGGCTTTTAAACCCCAAAATACATTAAAGACTGGTTCATTCCAAAGATTGATCTGGCTCAGCACAGAAAAGCAACATCATCAGGCCAGGACTCTGTGGTCTACACTTATCTGCAGGCCAGCGGTCACTCAGCCCTCTGTGAATAGCAAGCGGCCATCAGGTCACTAACTCTTTTATTATGTGAATAACTAGTTCTGTCTGTCAGCAAACTGGCTGATCCATATGAGAAGCTGCTGCTTAGAAGTCTGAGTTTGTTGCAGCTCCTCAGAATGAAGACCAAAAGTTTCATTAAAAAGTAATTATTTTCACAGACACAAAAATAGGATTTTTGCAACATGAGTAAGAAAACCTCTGCTGCTTTACAGCTCAGACAAACAACACACCAGAAATATTCTTCAAAGTTTAAACAGATGATAAAAAGTGAGACTTTAGATGAATGTACAGGTATTTTACAGATTTAATAGTTTTTGCACAATCAGTTTAAGTTTTGTGATTTTAGTACTTTTACTACAGAATCCAAAAAAGTTCAATCTGGTCCTCTGGACATTCAAAAAAAAAAAACAAAGCAAAAAAATGTAGAAACGTTTCGTCTCTCATCCGAGAGACTTCCTCAGTCTGAGGTGCTGTTTTCAGCTCAGTCTCTTAAATAGCACCTTCTCAGAGTGGATCAACCAGTTTGCTGCTGACAACCAAAACCAGCTGATCACATGCTCAAGAAGGACCATCAGCCTAACAATGGATCATTAGCACACTGATGGCTGTTTACTACTCACAGAGGGCTGAGTGATACGAGCAATCACAGCATTGTAAGAGGGGGACAGTTGAACCCGGAGGCCTCCACACCTGTTTAATGATGGACGATTTCTTTTCACAAAGATGGCCTCCTCTGTGAAAAGAAATCGTTTTTTTTTTTTTTTTTTTGAATG